ATTATTCTCACTTCATCTTTGTTCTTTGACTGTTCAGATCAAACGATCTTACATTCCATAGAACTTCGAATTCTGCTTCATTTTGCGTTTATTAGATGTGTTGCACACACATAGAACGGTAAGTACGGTTTACTGGATTACACCATTTCAGATAAAATCTATTGTTTGTAGACATGTGAAGAGAACCCCCCAATTTTGAGACATGGTTTGCACACTTGTAATTCTCTCACCTTCTTTGTGATATTGGTAGTAGAATTTTGCTTACATCCGGAATAGGCGCCGAATCTTTCCAATTGCAAGTACTTAGTGTTGACTGAATAAACGAAGATTCGGTTATCAGTCTCTTTGTACATCCATCTAAGATCGCTTTAAGGACTACTAATCTGCCAATCTTGCATTCAGATAAGTTTTTGTGCTCGGATAGCCTAATTCACCCTAGTCAACTAGTTTGACCTATGTAGTTGGCCTCACAATCACTGCAAGGGATTTGGTAAACCAGATTATTTTGCTGAATTGCATCGATAAGATCTTTTGACGTACAAAGCTTGTTTCTAAGCGAGTTTATTGGTTTAAATGCCACTGTAATCCCGGCCAGTGTTATTGTGAGTTCATCGTAATGCTTCTGAGGTGCCTTCTTTGTATGCTAGCACAGCAGATGCTTTGAATCTTCTCTCAGCCGTATCACCATTATTACTACCACTATTGTTAGCAGTAGTAATAATATTAAGATCTGTGTTACTAATACGGATCACATCTGGCTTATTTATTGACAAACTTAGGTGGGTAATTATTGAGATGCAGGATATTCTTGATATGTCTGAAATCCTGTCTTAGATTCTCTCTCCTACTGATGGGCTTTTTCGCCCTGTTATTGAGACATTTAACTAAGCCGACTTTAACTGAGAAAGGGTGAGGTGGTTTGAAGTCTAAGTAGCGATTCAAATGAGGTTTCTTATAGACGATACTAGTCTCTAAAATTCCATCTTGCTTCCGTTTGATTGACCAATTCAGCGTTGCTAACTCCTCTTCATCAACCTTTGATTCACATGTGAATTGTATTATTTCACCACTAAATTAATGTCTGCAAAGAAACTGCTTATGTGCTCGGATCTCAGTACCCGAAAATGTGTCATCAAGATATTAAAGTAATGTGTATTCAGAGAAGAAGCAGATCTTTCAACAGCTATCCATTCACAACTTTCGATCCTTAAATATATCGAGCATTCATTATTATTTGTCCCTTGGGTTCCTAGTGGAACATAGGGTTTCAGTAGCACGCCTCCATTGCACTCTGTTCTCTGCAGTCATTTCAACCTGGTTCCACGACTACCCACAAGCTTTCATTTCTCCCTCTCACCATCTCCATATCACCCTCGACTCGGATGCCAAACTCGTCGTTTCCCACTCGGCGGTCTGGTCTGGCCTAGCGCGTGATGTCCCCAGATAGTTTTCTCAGTATATGCCCAACCCAATCCATCTCCACTCTCTTCTGCATATTTGTTGGGCGATAGGTTCTTGGTTGGTTCGTTGACAGCCAGCGAGAGTTCCTTGTTCTTATTCTTATAATTGTGGCCATCTGATCTTCAGTATCGAGCGTAGGCAGCTGCTGATGTGATGTATATCTGTAGTTTGTTGGAAATGCTTTACGTAACGCGTCGATTCTCTCAACCATCACATAGAAGTACTGACTGACTTGGCTGAATTAATGTTGAAAATCCTAATGTCGTTCACGCTTTATGCTGAGTGCAGCGTAGCGCAGTGGAGTAGATCTCCACACTAATTATTTCAGATCAATGAAGGAAGGCCTGCCTTGCTCTTCCGATCCTGGTTTTGAAATCCTCGTCTGTACCGCTGTCTGTAGTTGAAACGATGCTGCCTATTTAGGTGAAAGAGACTACTTCCTTTAGGTTCCTCCTACTGATGGTGATTGGTGCTTGTTGTTGATTGGGTATCTTCATCACCTCCATCTTCTCTGCGTTCACCTGAAGGAAGTCCTGTCTTCATTCACTGCCTCGCCTCTTCTGTCAACTTGTTAGTTTTCGCCTGTAGATCTTCGAGTTTGTGCGACAAGACATTAGACATAAATCATCATCGTTGGCGAAATCCAAATCTCCTCATGCGGTCTTTTCATCGGTCCAGCCAGCGTATGTCCATCTTCTCACTCCTCACGGTTTCCTGCATGATCCAATCTAGTCCTGCAGTCGACCACAATCAGTAAGATTATGGATGATAGTATGTGGCAACCTTTTCTTACTCCTGTCTTCACTTCGAAGGTGTCACTGAGCTTTCCATTGTGAATCACTTGGCATGTGGCCAGCTGTTGGATGAGGTTTATAAAGGTCTGTGGCACTCACACTGTAGTGTTGATGCAGCTGCCTGCCAAATTGCTTCTAGGTGGACTCTGTCGAGGGCCTTTTCAAAGTGGACGAAGTTAAGGTAAGGTGAGGGGTTGACCGGCATCCTATGCTCTGTTCTATGATGGTGAGTAGCGTAGCCTTGCAATTTGATCCGAACATGATTTGTTCTTCCTGTAGCCAGCCTGTTGCGGTCGTAGTTTTGAATGCAGCGCATCCTTCAGTCTCTCCAGGATGATGTGGTATAGTATTTTGCTTTGGGTGGACAGGGGTGGAGCATGATTCCTTGCCAGTTCTTGCAAAGACAAGGTAGCGCTTCTTACAGTCAATCGGCATGTACCTTTCCTTCCTTCTTTGTAAACCTTCTGCATTAGTGGTGTGAGCATGTCTGCTGTTGTCTCTGCGTCTGTTTTCAGTGCTTCTGGTGGGATTCAATGTGGTTCTGCTGCTTTTCCGAATTTCAGCAGTTTTGATGGCGTTCAGGACTTCTGCTTTTGTCGGAGGTCTTGTGGTTCTGCCGATGCAGGTGATGGTCGATTGAAGCGTTTTTTGAAGTGGTAGATAAGTGACTATATTACACACCTAATAAGCAGCTTTTGATCAGAAGCTTTTACTCCATCCCTACATGGTTATCGTTCAATCACTAGTTTTTTTTAATGAAAATCTGACTTCTGTCTTAAAAATCCAATCTCCTAGGTTCAGATTATACTTCGCCTGCTTTAACCTGAGTCAGGAGTAAAAATTGGGACTGTTGTAGATTGTAATTCCATTTTAGTTTGTTTATTAGAAATATCACAGTGAATGAACAGTATCATTGTTTACTGGTAGACGACGTTTCGGACACAATTTTTCGTGCCCAATCATATCAGGTAACTTCACAACAACTTTGAGGCAGAGTTCATATATTCCCAATTCTCTCTCCTTCTTTGTGATGACAAGGGTAGTAGAATTTTTTCATATGTCTGAGACGGGTGCACAATCATTTCTGTTACTACAAGCTTTGTAAATTAAAAGATCCTATTGATGCAATTAGGCAAAATAGTCTAGTTCACCAAATCCCTTCCCTTGCAAGGATTGCGAGGTCAAGTAGACGGGTCAAAGTAGTCGACCAGGGTAGATTAAAATAACAGAGTACAAAGTCTTAGCTAAATCAAGACTAGTCGATCCGAATAAGATAAGAAATTTAAAAAAAACTCAGCTGTAGCTGTTCACGCAATGACACACAATTACATATTAGGGTGGGATAGAGTGACAGTATTAAAAACTAACTTAGTTGGGTGGAGTGAGGGAGAGATTGGTAACCGAATCTTTGTTTATCGAATCAACACCAAATAGAAGACATTAAAGCGAACAATATTGTTTTCAATTAGCTCTCATCAGGCTTTACGCTAATATACATAGATTTTCTCATATATAAAACATTGAACCAATCATAGTGAATTATTCAGTCGTGGTAATTAGGAAATGTAACATGTAAATGGTAGATATCTAGACAATCATAGTAACAACGACAATAATAACAATGATCATCTCATTGATGTTAAGAATAATGGGAACAGGATAGTACTTCAAATATTTAAACAAACAATGTAGATCAAAACTTAGAAAAATAGAAGTTATGTAATACTAAAGGATGAAATGTGTAGATAATCAAAGTCTAAACAAATAAGTAAACATGTGTGAAAGGGGGGAAGAAAGGGAAAGAGGATGAAAATTGAATTTATATAAAGATATTTCAAGTCGTTATTCAGTTGGAGGAACAACGGAAACCTGGGAGCACTGGACAGCTGTTTCGTCCTAGTATGGGACTCCTCAACAGTGCTCTCCCACGACTTCACCAGGGATCGAACCCTCTACCTTCAGGTTTCGTGATCAGCACGGAACCATTGAGCCACTGAGTCGTAACCCAATGATCCATACTTCCAACCTCTGTTCGTTCACTATATAGTGCGACTAAGGCAGAGATAAAGGCTTCACGAACGTTTTCTTCATACAAAGACTACGTTTGTTTTCTCTAATTGCCATTGCCTCAGCTGCATGCAAAATGCGGGTGGGAATTCTGTTCGAAAGATTTTATGTAATGCGATAGATGATCTTGAACGCTTTGTCCTTGTTTATTACGTGACCACTGTTGACTAAATGTGACAGAATTGAGCTTCATATTGACTTCACTTGTCCCTTTCCCAACCATGACGGTAGGTGCTCAGCAACACGTTTGTTAAGTTGCTTAGTCGTACGCCCAATATAGCAACGATGGAAATGATTCTGTACCTGTCCCAGTTATGTGGAACATTCTACTACCTTTATAATCATAAAGAAGGAGAGAGGGTTAGGACTATATAAAGTCTGTCTCAAAGTTGTTGTGTAGTTACCTTTTATGAATGTAGACAATAAATTGTGTCTGAAAGGTTGTTATCCAGTAAATGATACTATCTCATCAGTGTATAGTGTTTCTAAGTCAGTCTCGTTAATACTAAAACAAATTTGTCTCATAGTCTAGTATTTCGGAGAAAATTTAAACGTTTACAATAATTGAACTCCTTTATGTAGGCAGTATATTTTCAAACAGTTTAAACAAGGATATCTTTTAATGTTTTATATACTTTTAGGCTAATTTTCTCACTTTTTTCTTCTAACTTTATTCAGGCAAAACATAATGAAGAACGTCTAGAAATGATTAAACAAGGTTTATTACATGAAAATGAATTAAAATCGAATAATTGTCAAGAGAAATCTGCATTTCCTGTTTATCCTGACATACAAAATTCTTTCGAGGAATATTTTCCTAGGAAAACACCCAATGAGAAACAAGATACTTGAATATCACATGTATACAATATATGCCACCAATCAGTAATCCAGAGACTTTTCAATAGCTTCTTATATGTTGTGTTATGTAGAAATATTCTCTTGATTGATCTTTGTTTTAAAGAAATAATTTTCTTAAAGAGTTTATGAATACTGGTACATCTCCATAAACTACTTTCATTGAATTACCCCAGTAGATGAATAGAGGTATCATTTTGGTCCCATGTTGTTCATTATTTGTTTATTTGCTTTTTATTTGTTGATATGCTTGCAATTTTCCTTTTTTTAACTGGATTGAACGTTTCGTCCTACTTAGGACTCATCAGCTGGATTAACCTACACCCTTGTAAGTGATTTGTTCCCACTGATAATTGAACTCAGTACCAATCGCTTCAAATCTGATTGCGGTGGACTTGAATGAGTACCTATGAGATAAATTAAGCTTATAGGTAAGTGAGAATTTAGTGGTAAGATCACCTTACTGACCATACTAATTCATATTAGTGAGATAAAAGGTTTCGCTTATCAGAAATAGTATGTTTACTCTCAAAGATCTACTGTAAGCTCAACTATTTGTTTGAAATTCCCTAGAGAATTTTAAAAATTCCTACCATCCTTTTTTTGCTTCTTTTTGTTCGGAAAATCTCCTGACCAGTGACTGTAGAGTAAGTAGGATATCCATATCACATTCGTAAGACAAAACCTTCTCTTCCTAAATGAAGACACTTGGGAGTTGTTTGTAAGGCTTTCGGTTAAAAGATGTGAACAGAACTGCTGTGACCGGTAGTGTGACTTAGCGATACGAACCTAACACTTAAAAGAAATCCACTCTAATCGCTAATCAGAATATCAAACATCACGATAGCAATACCACCATTGGTACAGATCTTTAATTGTCTGAACAACAGTCAATATAGTTGTGAACAATGCTGAATATATGCATTCTAAACGACCTTGACAGGCAATAAATTCATTGGTAAGCTAAAAGAGTTAATAACGAATGAAAGTCCAGCCTTCAGAAGCAGTGGGAAAAACAGAAGCTTGTAACGGCGCCAAGAGGTTATGAAAACAACAATACTAAAGTTATTTTAAGGCTATAGAAAAGTATCAGGCAAAATTAGAGGTGTTTAACACCTCCTCCCTGGAAAAAAATGAACACGTATAACAACAAAATTTAGTACCTTCATTTCCTCAGGTCGATTTGAAAATATACGGTTCGAGATCTTCTGCGACCGAATCGTCACCTGGGTAAAGACCTCTTTTTCAACTCCGGCTTCCCTCAGGTTGATTCTGCGTCGACTGGAGGTAGTTTAAAAGTTTTAAGCAACAGTTTCAAGGGTTTCTGAGGAAGTGGCGTGATGACGTCGTATCTGATTTTCGTGTCTCATCCATGTTTCGTACCCAACTCTAACCTCGTATTCCAGAGCTGCACGTTGATCTATCAGCCCTTTTACCCATTTTCCTTCTCCTGGTTGATAGTCCCGACCATGAACCGGGTCCACCTTGTGGAAATAAGTCAAGTTGTTGAACTTTCTTCTTCTTCATGACCAATTTTTTCAGAAGTATCTAAGTATTAGAAAGGTTGACAGCAACAACCAATCAATTTCGAATGTCCCCATATGTCTATGTTAGTTGTCATTTGCTAAAATTCTGATTAGGCCGCCTACATTTTCGAGTCCTTGTATACTTCCTAGGTATATTTTGCGAAAGACACAATTGTGCATTATGTGGACTAGCCAACTAACGTCGTTTTCACTTTCAGTCAACTGATATGGCGTTAATGGCTATAAGACCACACATATTAATTTGGGCATCTTCTTCAACCCGTCAGGTCAAAGATATAACATTAGGTGATCAGATGGTCTTGAAATGAGTACTTTCTTACTTAACAGTGACCACTGGTCAATCTTAGGACTTGTTAATATTGATGGTACTATCATATTATTTAAGAAAACTTAAATTGTTTTGTGGCATTCAGCATCTATTCTTATAGTTCATTACTCCATGTGTTTTATAGATTCTTCATTATTCTCACTTCATCTTTGTTCTTTGACTGTTCAGATCAAACGATCTTACATTCCATAGAACTTCGAATTCTGCTTCATTTTGCGTTTATTAGATGTGTTGCACACACATAGAACGGTAAGTACGGTTTACTGGATTACACCATTTCAGATAAAATCTATTGTTTGTAGACATGTGAAGAGAACCCCCCAATTTTGAGACATGGTTTGCACACTTGTAATTCTCTCACCTTCTTTGTGATATTGGTAGTAGAATTTTGCTTACATCCGGAATAGGCGCCGAATCTTTCCAATTGCAAGTACTTAGTGTTGACTGAATAAACGAAGATTCGGTTATCAGTCTCTTTGTACATCCATCTAAGATCGCTTTAAGGACTACTAATCTGCCAATCTTGCATTCAGATAAGTTTTTGTGCTCGGATAGCCTAATTCACCCTAGTCAACTAGTTTGACCTATGTAGTTGGCCTCACAATCACTGCAAGGGATTTGGTAAACCAGATTATTTTGCTGAATTGCATCGATAAGATCTTTTGACGTACAAAGCTTGTTTCTAAGCGAGTTTATTGGTTTAAATGCCACTGTAATCCCGGCCAGTGTTATTGTGAGTTCATCGTAATGCTTCTGAGGTGCCTTCTTTGTATGCTAGCACAGCAGATGCTTTGAATCTTCTCTCAGCCGTATCACCATTATTACTACCACTATTGTTAGCAGTAGTAATAATATTAAGATCTGTGTTACTAATACGGATCACATCTGGCTTATTTATTGACAAACTTAGGTGGGTAATTATTGAGATGCAGGATATTCTTGATATGTCTGAAATCCTGTCTTAGATTCTCTCTCCTACTGATGGGCTTTTTCGCCCTGTTATTGAGAAATTTAACTAAGCCGACTTTAACTGAGAAAGGGTGAGGTGGTTTGAAGTCTAAGTAGCGATTCAAATGAGGTTTCTTATAGACGATACTAGTCTCTAAAATTCCATCTTGCTTCCGTTTGATTGACCAATTCAGCGTTGCTAACTCCTCTTCATCAACCTTTGATTCACATGTGAATTGTATTATATTCACCACTAAATTAATGTCTGCAAAGAAACTGCTTATGTGCTCGGATCTCAGTACCCGAAAATGTGTCATCAAGATATTAAAGTAATGTGTATTCAGAGAAGAAGCAGATCTTTCAACAGCTATCCATTCACAACTTTCGATCCTTAAATATATCGAGCATTCATTATTATTTGTCCCTTGGGTTCCTAGTGGAACATAGGGTTTCAGTAGCACGCCTCCATTGCACTCTGTTCTCTGCAGTCATTTCAACCTGGTTCCACGACTACCCACAAGCTTTCATTTCTCCCTCTCACCATCTCCATATCACCCTCGACTCGGATGCCAAACTCGTCGTTTCCCACTCGGCGGTCTGGTCTGGCCTAGCGCGTGATGTCCCCAGATAGTTTTCTCAGTATATGCCCAACCCAATCCATCTCCACTCTCTTCTGCATATTTGTTGGGCGATAGGTTCTTGGTTGGTTCGTTGACAGCCAGCGAGAGTTCCTTGTTCTTATTCTTATAATTGTGGCCATCTGATCTTCAGTATCGAGCGTAGGCAGCTGCTGATGTGATGTATATCTGTAGTTTGTTGGAAATGCTTTACGTAACGCGTCGATTCTCTCAACCATCACATAGAAGTACTGACTGACTTGGCTGAATTAATGTTGAAAATCCTAATGTCGTTCACGCTTTATGCTGAGTGCAGCGTAGCGCAGTGGAGTAGATCTCCACACTAATTATTTCAGATCAATGAAGGAAGGCCTGCCTTGCTCTTCCGATCCTGGTTTTGAAATCCTCGTCTGTACCGCTGTCTGTAGTTGAAACGATGCTGCCTATTTAGGTGAAAGAGACTACTTCCTTTAGGTTCCTCCTACTGATGGTGATTGGTGCTTGTTGTTGATTGGGTATCTTCATCACCTCCATCTTCTCTGCGTTCACCTGAAGGAAGTCCTGTCTTCATTCACTGCCTCGCCTCTTCTGTCAACTTGTTAGTTTTCGCCTGTAGATCTTCGAGTTTGTGCGACAAGACATTAGACATAAATCATCATCGTTGGCGAAATCCAAATCTCCTCATGCGGTCTTTTCATCGGTCCAGCCAGCGTATGTCCATCTTCTCACTCCTCACGGTTTCCTGCATGATCCAATCTAGTCCTGCAGTCGACCACAATCAGTAAGATTATGGATGATAGTATGTGGCAACCTTTTCTTACTCCTGTCTTCACTTCGAAGGTGTCACTGAGCTTTCCATTGTGAATCACTTGGCATGTGGCCAGCTGTTGGATGAGGTTTATAAAGGTCTGTGGCACTCACACTGTAGTGTTGATGCAGCTGCCTGCCAAATTGCTTCTAGGTGGACTCTGTCGAGGGCCTTTTCAAAGTGGACGAAGTTAAGGTAAGGTGAGGGGTTGACCGGCATCCTATGCTCTGTTCTATGATGGTGAGTAGTGTAGCCTTGCAATTTGATCCGAACATGATTTGTTCTTCCTGTAGCCAGCCTGTTGCGGTCGTAGTTTTGAATGCAGCGCATCCTTCAGTCTCTCCAGGATGATGTGGTATAGTATTTTGCTTTGGGTGGACAGGGGTGGAGCATGATTCCTTGCCAGTTCTTGCAAAGACAAGGTAGCGCTTCTTACAGTCAATCGGCATGTACCTTTCCTTCCTTCTTTGTAAACCTTCTGCATTAGTGGTGTGAGCATGTCTGCTGTTGTCTCTGCGTCTGTTTTCAGTGCTTCTGGTGGGATTCAATGTGGTTCTGCTGCTTTTCCGAATTTCAGCAGTTTTGATGGCGTTCAGGACTTCTGCTTTTGTCGGAGGTCTTGTGGTTCTGCCGATGCAGGTGATGGTCGATTGAAGCGTTTTTTGAAGTGGTAGATAAGTGACTATATTACACACCTAATAAGCAGCTTTTGATCAGAAGCTTTTACTCCATCCCTACATGGTTATCGTTCAATCACTAGTTTTTTTTAATGAAAATCTGACTTCTGTCTTAAAAATCCAATCTCCTAGGTTCAGATTATACTTCGCCTGCTTTAACCTGAGTCAGGAGTAAAAATTGGGACTGTTGTAGATTGTAATTCCATTTTAGTTTGTTTATTAGAAATATCACAGTGAATGAACAGTATCATTGTTTACTGG